CTAGGTCTGCAGCCGTCGATGGTAGATTGCCCTTCCTGTTCGTCGCCGCGGTATGTCTCCCGGAGGGGCAGCGATCTGGCCTGCAGGTGGACAATCTGTGTTGCTGCGTGGCCACATTCGTCGACAACCTGCTCACGATTGCAGAGACACCAGAGAATACCATCACCATTATGGCCCGTTGCGAAGAAGAGCCGCGGAAACGATGGTTATTAAACATCGGCGAGGACACCAAGGAGTTCATGACGTGCAGGGCTTACCCGCACTCCATCAACCTCCCACCGGCATGGGGGAAGCGCTCGGTGTTGAAGTGCCTCGGCCACCACGAGGACGACGGTGGCATGCGCACCTGTTTCCAGAAGTCCGCAGCAGCCATGGCGAAGTCTTTCTACGCCAACCTGACGGCGGGCCTGCTTCGCGCGCCGATCTCTGCCAAGTACCAGTACATGAACACATGCATTCGGTCAGTTGGTAGTTTCCGTTGGTCAATGTGGCCGTACGTCAAGACATACGCGGCCAAACTCGACAGGCTCCAGCGAACGTTCCTCGCTTCCCTGATGCAAATCAAGCGGAAAAAACGGTGAGTCTCATGAGGCCTTCGCACAGAGGCGTCATCTTCTCGGGGGGCGCCTGGCCACGTCATGTGGCAGATGGAGCGCTGCGTGGGCCAAGTCTGTCGTCTCCTGGGGCACGCGCGTCCGCCGCGCTCACGATCCCGGGGCTTGGTCTCACGTATTTCTTGGTCTGCAAGCCGACTCGTGGTCGATAGTGCACCGGTTCTTGCACTTTTCCCAAGGCGAGTCCCGCACAAGGAGTCGTGTCTACCATGGGCGGGTACAACAACGATGGAGCTCCGGTGTAGAGCTGGCGCGGTCCCAGACGCCCTAGAGCGAAGCAGTTCGCTTGCTAGAGTATTTTGTCTAGCGTTGCCTCGTGCTCCTCCCTTTCCGCTTCCACCTGGCCAGGTTTTGTATAGCATCGCAGCGCTTTTAGTTTTCCAGTGCACTGGCTGTTCCATCGCCAGAGAGATGGATATATCGTCGCCATCAGCATCACAATCATATTCACCACCATCAGCGTCACCATCACCAACCGTCATCCCCACCATCACCATCACCATGTCGGAAACTGGAACATATACATTACCAGTGGCGGTCTCTTTCTCAATCCCAGGGAAACAGCGAGAAATGTATGGATCCCGTATACACCAGGATCCGCTTTCCTGTGCGAGTTTCAGTGCCGGGCCGGACAAAACGTCGGTGTATAGCGTTCGGCTCCTTACCATGGTCATCATCATCACCATTATCAGCGTCGTCATCGTCATCATCATCATCATCATCGTTATCATCATCATCAGTACCGTTGTCACCACCATCACCACTACCATCGTCATCATCACCCGAATCATTATCATCATAATCATCACCGTCTTTTCATCATTTTCCTCATTTTCATCATCTCCACCGCCACCATCACCATCATCATCATCATCATCAACAACAACATCGGCATCATAACCGCATGCCGGTGATAATAAAGGGACCCCCCCCCTTCAGTGTTTAGAGTTGATTATCGTCGCCCTATACAAAATTCAAATTGGGCGGCGAGCGCTGAGGCCGAACTTCATTATCACCTCGAAACGCTATGTTGAGATAGCAACATCAAACGATGTTGATATAGCAACATCAAGCGAAACGATCACACTTTTTCAGGATGTGTCAAGCGAAACCAATAATTTTGGGAGGCAGACTCAAACGAAACGAGCAATGTTTCAAGGATGTCTCAAGCGAAACCAAAAATTTTGGGAGGCAGACTCAAACGAAACGAGCAATGTTCCAAGGATGTCCCAAGGATGTTTCAAGCTAAACCAGCAAGTTTTTTCTTTTTATTTATATTTTTTAGTATCTTCCTTGTTATATATGTATCTATCCCCGCGCGCGCCTGAACTTTTTTTATCTGTGGGGTTGATTATCCATGGAAAGGGGAGCACATGAGCTACCTTACATGAGCACTTTAAAAAATCAATTTTCATAAAGCGTTTGTAAATTAAAAATGATAGATTTGGAACCTGCCATTTTTCCGTTCTTCTTCTCTTCTTCTTCTTCTCTTTTTCTTCTCTTCTTATTATTCTTCTACTTTCTTTTTCTTATTTTATATTTCTATCTGTCCTCACGCTCGCCTGAACTTTTTTATCCCTGGGGTTGATTATCCATGGGAAATGAAGCACATGAGCTACCCTACACGAGCACTTAACAAACATCAATTTTCATAAATCGTTTGTAAATTAAAATTGATAGATTTGGAACTTTGGATTTTTCCTTTCTTCGTCCTCTTCTTATTCTCCTCTTCTTCTTCTTTCTTATTAGTCTTCTACTGCATTCTTCTTCTTTTATATTTCTCTCTGTCCCCGCGCTCGCCTGAACGTTACAAGCGAAAAACACAATTATTTCGAGGATGTCTCAAGCGAAATAAGCAATAGTTTGACTGTGTCTCAAGCGAAATAAGCAATAGTTTGCGGATGTCTCAAGCGAAACAAGGGATTTGTCGAGGATGTCTCCAGCGAGATAAGCCATTGTTGAGGATATTTCTATGAAAACTAAACGCCAAGGATGTCTCAAAACGTGCTCGGCTTGGTCTCCTCTTGATCATCTCTTACTTCGAGATTATGCTGAGGTCTGCTGGGCTACTTTTATTATCTCTCCCTGAACCCCGAACTTTATTATCCCCTAGTGTTTATTCTCACGGGCATGAGGTTAATCATCGTCACCAGCATCGTCGTCACCACCATCACCACCACCATCGTCATGATCACCCGTATCATTATCATCATAAGCATCACCGTTTTCTTCATGATTATCCTCATTCCTATCATGTCCACCGCCGCCGTCACCATCATCATCATTACCATCAACAACAACATCGTCATCATTATAATCATCATCACCAGCAATGTCATCGGCATCATCAGCATCGTCACCATCACCATAACCATTATCACCATCACCATTCGTATCGGTATTTTCATCATGATGACCATCACAGTCATCGTCACGATCAGCATCCTCATCATCATGTTTTATCGCTTTCAGCATCAGCATCATCATTGCGATCCCGCCTATCACCCTCTCCATCCTCACCCTCATCCTCATCCTTTTCCTCTTCTTCATGTTTGTCATCATCAGAACCTCCACCTCCACCATCGTCATCATCGCCACTGTCCACATCACCATCACCATGATCATCATGATCAGCATCGTCATCATCGTCCTCATCATTATCATCATCAGCACCGTCATCATCAGCACCATCATCATCATTGTCGTCGTCATCATTACCATCATCATCACCATCACCATCATCATCATCGTCATCACCATCGTCATCATCCATGACTCTCTCCTTTGCGCCTCCCATCCGCGCAGCGAGATGGTTCGAGGGTGCCAAGCCCCAGCGGACTCTCACGTACCTCTGCGGCGTGGAGCCTTCGCAGTGGCGGGAGGACCGTCATCTCTTTGTGGACCAGTCTGCGTTGTCACTTCCATGCGCGCGTCTTTGAACGCGCACTGGTACGTCGCTCGCCTTGCTTCACATGTCTCCTTCGCAACCCTCTGCGTTGCCCTTGGGGCAACGTGAGGATAACAGGAGGGATATTGGAGGTACGAGAAGGTGACGGAGGGACGGAGGCAGACGATGGATGTCAACAGGATCGTGAGGTTGGCAGTTGGAGGTGTGGGGAAGTGTGGAGGGAGGGAGGCAGGGATGGAGGGAGGGAGGGCGTATGGCGACACTGAGATGCCGATCGGTGCAAGTGAGTCGGAGGGGTGCCAATTTCCTTGAGGAGGTGAATAACGAGGGCGATGAAGCATGAAGCAGAAGGGAAGGAAGAATGGACAGGAATGATGAGACGGAGGATGACGATGATGACCATAGTAAGCTCACGATGCGTCCACGATGCTGCAGTACAACCTCCCGCCTCAAGCCTCCGCCTCACTACTGCTCGCCGCGCTGGGCGTTACAGTGACAGATAATGTGCGCCCCCCTGTGCACCCCGTTCAGGTGAAGCCATCGTCCTGAGAAAGATCTGCCGTCCATTAGCTGTAGGAGGTGCTGCTAGGCTCATACTTTCTATCAGGGATCGTCGACTCCCAAGGAGGAAATATGGGAAGCTATTGGAAGTGGGGGGGAAGACAGACATCAAGAAAAGACGCAAACATATGGGGAATCCTGGGATTTTTGTGTATTTATTTATTTGTGTGTGTGTGTGTGTGTGTCCCTGGGTCCCTTCGTTCAAGGACACGTCGAGCGTCAGCCCCCGCTCTGAAAAAGGCACCGCTCACCATCTGTGCAGCCACTGCAGCTGCTCTCCTGTCTGCTCGCAGAGTGCGAGGAAGTCTCAAGCGATAGGTCCATTTTTGTAAATGGGCCGCCTTCCACGCGTGTGGCTATTGGGCGTCGTGGCCCGGCTTCCTCTCTCCCCGTCGCGCCGGGGCTCCTCCTCCTGATGCCAATCCGCCGGAGCAGTCGCCCTCTGCCCAGTCGCCGACGCAAAAAGGGGCTATCGCGCAAGTTACACCGTGTAGTCACAACATTTGATGGTGTCCCACGCCATGGTCCCGTGCCGAAACGGAACCGTCGACCACCTGTGCAACGGTTGGATTTTGTACGGCGAATGTGCGCCCACCTGAGGCGAGAGTCGCACCAAGAGCGCGTTTCGCCACCAATCTGCTAGTCTGTTGGCAGCGTTTAGGTCGAACGTGCCCAGCGGGAATAAGGCCAGAGCCATACTTTCCCATTCAATCCGGGTTGCGGACAAAGATTTCAAATTTCGGGGTAAGTCGGGCCTGTCCCTCAACAGGATGAATATTTTAAAAAGTATTCAACATAGTCAGGGGATGCTTTTTGACTATTTTCGAACACTTTTCATTATGTATTGCAATTTTCGTTTCGTCCAAATCCGCCTGTAGGGGAACACGCCCGACTTAATCTTAAGGTCAAAAGTGGGTAGGGAGCTCATGCGAAACGCTTGCCCTCTTGCCAGCAACCCTTGTGATGCGACGAGGAAGACTTGCGCATTGGGATCCGAAGCCACTTGGACTCAAACAAATGCGGCTGCAGTTCGGGCACGTCTGAGCTCCAGCCAATCCCGTGACTCGACGCGGCAGCCTGCGCCGTCGCACCCGACGCGGCTCTAATAGAGTATAGAGGGCCCCCCGCGATGCAGCGGCGGACAGCGCTCGAGGATGCCGACGTCCCGCTGGGGATCGCCCAGCCCCAGCTGCGTCCTCCGCCCGAAGCTGTGGATTTCATCCCTGGCCCAGCAGCGGTGCCCCTGACACGCCTCACTCGGGCACCGGTCGCCTGGCCCCACCAGCAGGGCTGGCAGAGCGATGCGGCGCCCCAGCACCATCGGCAGCAGTTCCAGCAGCGGCAAGCCCAGCAGCAGCAGCAGCAGCAGCAGCAGGGGCAGCAGCAGTGGCAGCAGCAGTGGCAGCAGCAACGGCGGCATCAGCAGCTGCAGTTGCCGCAGTCGGAATGGTCGCAGCCGCAGCAGCAGCAGCAGCAGCAGCAGCAGCAGCAGCAGCAGCAGCAGCAGCAGCAGCAGCAGCAGCAGCAGCAGCAGCGCGAGCAGCAGCAGCAGCAGCAGCAGCAGCAGCAGCAGCAGCAGCAGCACCAGCACCAGCAGCAGCAGCAGCAGCAGCAGCAGCAGCAGCAGCAGCAGCAACAGATTGATCCACTCAGCCAGTACCCTCGGCAACGCCACAACACCTCGCGCTTGCAGCAGGCGCAAGAACAGCAGCAGATGCCATCCGCGGGCAGCCTCGACCACGCGCGCGGGGGCTGCAAGCCATGCCTCTTCTTCGCACAGGCAGAGTGCCGGAAGGGGCACGATTGCACGTTCTGCCACCTCCAGCACGACTCCAGGGACCTCAAGCGCGTCCGCCCCTCCAAGAAAACGCGCAGCTGGCTGGTGGAGCGGGGCAGGCAGCTGCCGCTGGAGGAGGACCACCCGCCCCCAGCGCAGGCGCAGCCTGCCCGCGGCAGCCGAGCGCAGCCGCCAGGGGGCCACCAGCGAAGACAGCCGGCGCGGCCGCTGCAGGGCGACCCCTCGCAGGGCCAGGGCGCCGAGCGCCTCTCCGCCGCGCCGCGGTGGCTCGCCGCTGCTGGCCCGCCGGCCGCCGCCTGCCCTGGCCTGCGGGCGAACGCCGAGCGCGCGCAGCCGCTGCCTGCCGCGGGCCTGTGGGCGCCCGTCGGCGAGCTCGCGCCCTTCGCCGCCGTGAGCCTCTGAGGCCGGGTGCTGCCGCTGGCGCAGCGGTGCAGCGCCGCCGCTGGCGGAGCGGTGCAGGGGTGCGGGCAGGAGCAGCGGTGGCCCTGCCGGTGGCGCTGTCGTTGGCGCAGCGGTGCAGGCCTGTGCAGCGGGCGCTCGCTGGCGAGCAGGGGCCCATGACCACCCTGAGCCTGGAGGGTTTCTGAGAACGGCTCAGGCGACCCGTCCTCCTCCTCCTCCTCCTCCTCCTCCTCCTCCTCCTCCTCCTCCTCCTCCTCCTCCTCCTCCTCCCCCTCCTCTTCCTCCTCCTCCTCCTCCCCCTCCCCCTCCTCCTCCTCCCTCTCCTCCTCCTCCGCTACTCCTTCCTCCTCCTACTCCTCCTCCTCCTCCTTTCTCCTCCTCGTCCTCCTCCTCCTCCTCGTCCTCCTCCTCCTCCTCCTCCTCCTCCTCGTCGTCCTCCTCCTCCTCCGGTCGCCTACGGCCCTGGGGGGAAACCGTGCACCTGAGCCCCTGAGGCCACGAGGTCGGTGCAGAACAACAGACTGTATGAACATACGCCGGCGGAGGTCCGCGCGGATTTCTTGGATCGGCGCTGGAGCCCCTGCCGGCGCCTCTGGCGTTGCCCCTGGCGCGCTCCGCGCGCCAGGTTGAGGGGTCCAGCGTTAAGTCGGGCGTGTCCCTGTACAGAAGGAATATTCAGAAATAGTGAAAAATAGTCAGGGGACGATTTTTCCCAACCATCCTGTGGTGTTGGGTCCTCGTTTTGAAGAGACGGTGCCCCGCGTCTCCTCTCCTTCCTTCCTCCTCCTCCGCCTCCTCCCCCCTCCCTCCTCCCTCCTCCCACTATCACGGCACACCCCTCACACGTTTCGTGGCCCCATAGGGAGCTCCACCGAGGGCCCCAGTGGCTGCGTTGGCATGGCGGCACCGCACCCATTTCGGCACACCCCTCACACGTTTCGTGGCCCCATAGGGAGCTCCACCGAGGCCCCAGTGGCTGCGTTGCATGGCGGCACCGCACCCATTTCGGCACACCCCTCAGACGTTTCGTGGCCCCGTATTTCGTCACACGTTTCGTGGCCCCATAGGGAGCTCCACCGAGGCCCCAGTGGCTGCGTTCGCATGGCGGCACCGCACCCATTTCGGCACACCCCTCACACGTTTCGTGGCCCCACAGGGAGCTCCACCGAGGCCCCAGTGGCTGCGTTCGCATGGCGGCACCGCACCCATTTCGGCACACCCCTCACACGCTTCGTGGCCGCATAGGGAGCTCCACCGAAGGCCCCAGTGGCTGCGTTCGCATGGCGGCACCGCACCCAGTTCGGCACACCCCTCACACGTTTCGTGGCCCCATAGGGAGCTCCACCGAGGGCCCCAGTGGCTGCGTTGGCATGGCGGCGCCGCACCCAATTTGGCACACCCCTCACACGTTTCGTGGCCCCATAGGGAGCTCCACCGAAGGCCCCAGTGGCTGCGTTGGCATGGCGGCGCCGCACCCATTTCGGCACACCCCTCACACGTTTCGTGGCCCCATAGGGAGCTCCACCGAAGGCCCCAGTGGCTGCGTTGCATGGCGGCGCCGCACCCATTTCGGCACACCCCTCACACGTTTCGTGGCCCCATAGGGAGCTCCACCGAAGGCCCCAGTGGCTGCGTTGGCATGCGGCGCCACCCATGCGTTCGTGGCCCCATAGGAGCTCCACGAAGGCCCCTGCGTTGGCATGGCACAGGCCTCACACGTTTCGTGGCCCCATAGGGAGCTCCACCGAAGGCCCCAGTGGCTGCTGGCAGGGCGGCGCCGCACCCATTTCGGCACACCCCTCACACGTTTCGTGGCCCCATAGGGAGCTCCACCGAAGGCCCCAGTGGCTGCGTTGCATGGCACCCCAATTTCGGCACACCCCTCACACGTTTCGTGGCCCCATAGGGAGCTCCACCGAAGGCCCCAGTGGCTGCGTTCGCATGCCTCCCCACCACCCATTTCGGCACACCCCTCACACGTTTCGTGGCCCCATAGGGAGCTCCACCGAAGGCCCCAGTGGCTGCGTTCGCATGGCGGCGCCCCACCACCCATTTCGGCACACCCCTCACACGCTTCGTGGCCCCATAGGGAGCTCCACCGAAGGCCCCAGTGGCTGCGTTCGCATGGCGGCGCCGCACCCATTTCGGCACACCCCTCACACGTTTCGTGGCCCCATAGGGAGCTCCACCGAAGGCCCCAGTGGCTGCGTTCGCATGGCGGCGCCGCACCCATTTGGCACACCCCTCACACGTTTCGTGGCCCCATAGGGAGCTCCACCGAAGGCCCCAGTGGCTGCGTTCGCATGGCGGCGCCGCACCCATTTGGCACACCCCTCACACGTTTCGTGGCCCCATAGGGAGCTCCACCGAAGGCCCCAGTGGCTGCGTTGGCATGCGCGGCCCGCACCCCATTTCGGCACACCCCTCACACGTTTCGTGGCCCCATAGGGAGCTCCACCGAAGGCCCCAGTGGCTGCGTTGGCATGGCGGCGCCGCACCCATTTCGGCACACCCCTCACACGTTTCGTGGCCCCATAGGGAGCTCCACCGAAGGCCCCAGTGGCTGCGTTGGCATGGCGGCGCCGCACCCATTTCGGCACACCCCTCACACGTTTCGTGGCCCCATAGGGAGCTCCACCGAAGGCCCCAGTGCTACCGCCCTCATGCGTCCCGTACGCCCAGGACAGCGTTTCGTGGCACGCCTTTCGTGGCCCCATAAGGAGCCCCACCGAAAGCGGCACCCACAAAGCGTTATTCACAATTGCATATGGTTGGGTCCTTCGCCAGGATAATTTTTGAGCATTTCTTGAGTATTTTTGTTTTTGTGTGACTATTTCCCAACCCTCCTTGGTTGGGTATTCGTTTTGAATAGAGCACTGTGGTCGCGTCCCTCCTCCTCCTCCTCCTCCCGCCTCCCGCCTCCTCTCGCCTCCTGCCCGCTCTTCGCCGTCGTTGTGGGGCTGCGATCTGCGAAACTCTCGCCACTTTCGAGGGCTGCTGGTGGGTCCAGCGGAGTGAGGCACCGCGCGGATCAGAGCGGGACTTTGTCGTCCCTGGGGGGCTGCGATTTGCGAAATTGTCGCCACTTTCGAGGTGTGGCAGCAGCAGGATAAAGCAGATGCCTTTATACCTTGAGCCAACCCGGCAACGGAATGAAACCAAGCTCCCGCTCTCTGTAGAAAGACCTACATGCTAAACCTATATCTGTCGAAATGGAACTCCATCACATGGGTCAGACTTTCTAGTAGGTTTAGCTGCCCCATGCAAACAGCACTGTACACACAAGTCAGTCGTTGTCCTGATAAACAGGACGAGCAAAGGACAGGAGAGAGGGAGGAAAATTGCCGGTCCCCGGACCCGGTACGACACCTCGAAAAGCCGACCAAGACACTAACCGAGAGTCTTTGGCAAGAGTCCTCCTCGAGGCGGCTTGGGAACGGTCCTCATTTCCGGGGTCCTTCTTGCGACGATCGAGCTCTTCAGCTTCGTCGAGTAGAACTAGCTTCCCGTGGGTGAGGAGACTGGCCAGAGCAGCATTGCCCTTGGTGATGTCATCTTTGGTCAGTGCGTCCACTGGCATCCTGGAATGTGGGACCCAACGAACGTGCCCTCTAGCGTTCTCGAGCGTCTCGCACACCACGGCTAGGTCCAGCGCCGTCCTACGATCCCTGGCGCTGGCGTTGCCCTCCTTGAGCATTGTGTCGTAGATGCTCTTTGCGTCTACGACATGCACCTGGTCTTCGCGACCTCCAAGACTGCAGTTACTTCTCAGAACGGTAGTGAACGGCCCTGCCCCTCGGCAGTAGTCCGAAACATCGACGTCCTGGAACATGATATCTCTGTACAATACCTGCAGAAGTTGTACCTCGGCCACTGCAGCCGAGAGTGCCTGCGTCTCTCCGGCAAGGGTCGAGGTGACCTTGCGGCGAAGCTTGGAACTTCTCCACCCGAGAATTGACGCACGAACGACACGGTTATCAATCACACTCTTGTCGGTGGCAAGCACCATCCACGCCTCCTGGGTCGGGTCTTCTGGGAGACCCTTCTCATCCACCGATCCCTCGCACGAACCCACTCCCCCGGCGTCCGAAAAGGACACAAAAGCCATCCGCTCGGGATCCAGACGCCAAATGCTTAGGCCTCTCGAGGCCGTGGCTCTCAGGTGACGCACCATCTTATTGGCACAGGCCACGTCCCCGACAGTGGGTTCTTTGAGGCGACTTGCTAAAATGCTGGCCGTTCCTGCGGCCTCGGGATGCGATTCACGACCGACCCAGTTCAGCTTATATATGAGCGAACGCAAAGCCTTGAATTCTTCCCGGTCCAGCGGGGACCTTTTCTGGCCCAGCCTGCCGCGGGCCAGGGAGATGGGTCTGATTTCCTCGAGGATGTATTTTTCTTGATCGACTATTGTGCGCTGAGGTCCGAAGCGCACTGATCGTCCAGCGTACTCGACAGGTCCAGCAGCACAGTCTCTGTATTTGCCGAATCGAAACCTACCCTCGAGCTTCGTTCTCAGCCACTGCCTGGATTCCTGGGAGTCGCTCGCAATGAAGAAATCATCGACCTCCAGAAGAATCATATTGCAAATGTGCCCCCGAGTGTCGTACCGGATCCACCAGCACGGCTCCAGGAGGCTCCTGCAGAAATCTAAATCTTTGAGAAAGCCCACGATAGTCTTGCGCCACGCCAGTGGCGCATCATCCAGACCGTACACGTTCACCTTCAGACGGATCAGGGATCCGGGTTCAACCTTGATGCCTTCGCATGGTTCCACGTAGATCTCACCCTGGGACCTCCTCATAGGATCCGATTGACAACACGCGTTTTTGACGTCCGCTATGTCCCCCAAGAGAGAGAGATTCATCATCACCTGAATGAACATGAGAATGGAGGTCGTCTGGGGGGTGGGAGAGTACACGAACAGCGAACCCGTGTCGGGATCCTTGTGTCCGTGGACACACCAGTGGGATTTCGCCACTGGCTCGGAGAAAGTACCTTCCACCGGCTTCCACCTACGCACCATTCTGCTCGTGATGATCCTCTCGGGACACGAACGTCTCACCGCAGAGGCTTCCCGTGGAGCGATAACCTCGACGGCTCCCGAGCCGAGCATACTCTTCCACTCTGA